TCGGGCCTGAAAGAGCCTCGGCAGCATGGCGGAAACTCTGACCTCAGCTGAGGGTCTCGAATCTTTGGGGCCTGGAAATCGGGATCAACCCAGACCCTGAGCCAAAAGCCCGTTCAAGACCTACTGGGCCGCAATACCCTGTACACCCGCTTCCCAACTCTGCAGGGTTACTTGCTCGTGGTGAAAGATTTTACCGGGAACCGGCGACGCAACGTGTCAAAGGCAGTTAATGGTGGCCACACATTGCACATTTCCAGGAACATACTTCAGCGAGTATGTGCTGGAAGCCCTGCCAAAAGCCAAAAAAGCCGGACATTGGAAACCCCAAGTTTCAAAGGCACAAGGCCCTAAGTTGATCTAACTTAGAGTAACAACTTCTGATCCCATAGTAATAGTACTTACTGTTGCCGTGTTGCCATCCTCGTGAAGCGGTTCAGTCTTGTCGCCTGAGCGAAAAATCGGGGTAGTTTTCCCATTCCGGCATAGCTGGACGAACCCCACTGCAGACGGGCAGACCAGTCCACCTAATTTGACTGGAGCCTTTGCTTCAGGAAGATAAGTGAGTCAGTCAATTGGTTAGGTAGTTCGTTCGTTAGATCGCTAGTTCGTTAGTTCGCGTGTATGTGTCTGTTTGCTTTTGCGCGTGTGCGTTCGCGTGCGCGTGCTTTGTGAGTTCGACTCTCACAGCGCAGGCAATGCTAGGATCTACTCGGTGCAGGCCATGACATCAGCGTATGATTTTGACATGTCCACGACACAGGCACTAAGGGTTTCAAGCCTCCTTCCGGACGGGGGGCGGCAATGCCAAGACCGATTTCTTGCGTCATTAATGCAGATGCTTGTGATGTGCTGCACACTTCACAGGCCCAAAAAATCCTCTGCTGCTGCTGCCGCGTCCGGAGAAAGCAGCTGGGCAGAACACTGATGTCGACTTCTATCAAGCATGACAACGATTCGGGCCAACGGCTCACATACAAACACGTCCAGCCTGCACATGAGCCGACTACATCCCAAAGACCTTCAAGACCTCCAACCGAACTCAATCCAAACCGCCTACACCCATCCCAGGCCTTGGAGGAACGTATGACCAAGCGGATCGCCTGGCAATCTTTCTTCTGAGCAACTGCTGCGTGGGAGCAAGTTGAATTTCAGGATGGGTTCCTGAGTCCGTTTAGTTTCGATGAGGACTGCGACGGCGGCAAGTGAGTTTCCAACTCAGCAACCATGGGTTTTTCGACAGCTCGAAAAGCCCCGTGGTAAGGGCTTTCACGAGGCGCTGCAGATTCTTGCACGCGGCAAGCAGTATAGGGGTGCCCCGGAAACGTCCACAAGCTCCTCAAAAGTTCCAAGGCCCCACCTTCATCATGCGGGTCGAACGTGCGGCCACCAGGCTATTGCTTGCAAAGAGCTGCTGCACAAACCACCTTAGAAGGGGAAGGGGGAAGGGAGGCTGCTCTGTGGGGGTTCGTGGACGTGTTGCAGACTTTGTGCGACTTGTGCCATCCGACTGCCGCCCAGGAACGTTTCAGGTAGCAGCGAAATCCTCGGCAAAGACAAGTCTTCAAGACATGATGAGGACTCGTCCTACTAAATAGTACCCCCGTGCGGGTTGAATGGTTTACACCGAGTCCTGGTATGGAAGCACATCAACAAGGAGTTCTGTCGCCCGGGATCCCACTCCCAAAGTCTGTCAGTATCTGCCAGAGACTGAGCTTAGCTCAGACATCACGGACCGGTCACGAACCTGCATGAGTAGGCTAAGCAAGCTGCAAGGCCACCAGATCCAGCCAAAAGAAGGCTCGGAATGCGTAGTCATACTTGAACAAACCTCGCATGAACAGGCTCAGGGACACAAGCTGGGATTTTGTGCTCACTTCTTTTGGAGGGCAGCTGAATTGACTTCTCGCACATTCCGAAACCCTGCTCATTACGATGCCAGTGGAAACTGGGTGGGATAGAGACAGGACTCCCATTGGGGACCAAGAACTCATGAGAATGTGGACTCAGACTTCTCGAGACAATGATGAGTGATTCGATTGCTTAGGGGCAGTTGCTTTACAGTAGCTTGCGTCCGGGGCACTCAGAAGCACCAGCTCCTGAGCAGGTGCGGAGACTGCTGAACAGCAAACTCCTCCTCCTCCTCCTCCTCCTCCTCCTACCACATCCTCCACAAGCGAACCTTCTCTGCAGCTGGGACTCGAGTCCGAACAAGCCGAACACCACCGTGGTGACGATGCTCAGCAGAAATCTCGAATCAACGGTGCCGAAGAGAGTGTCCAAGTCCTCACAGCTTTACTGGACCATGGGGCTTTGCTTTTTAATTAGATGGCTTACGATTGCTTTGAATGCACTTACAGTCCTCTCATAGAACCCCAAGATACCTCAAAGCTGCAATGAAAGGCCCCTTACCACTCTTCTGGCCACCCAGGTGCTGTCGCGAAGAGCGCGTAGACCTTGGCCAAACACAGCTTTGCGCGAGGTTTCAGGTCTTGGCATTTAGGAGTCGGGCTGGACAGGCTCCCCCCTATGGGCACCAGGCAGGTTAAACCCAAAAAGATCTTTGTAATCCTGAGCCGTCTTGGAGTGCTCTCCTCACTCAAGCTCCCAAGCTTGCCCCCCTTGACTTCGAGAAGCAGTAAGGACCAAGAACACAAACATGAAGAGCTGGCTGTCGATGACATGAGAACCTTAATGGAGGTCGGAACGGGGTTGGTAAGGAAGGTTTTTGGTTAAATGGCTTTGCGGCACAAGGCTGAGATGCACATTCTGGCAAAGCCCGCACGTGTAGAAGTGGCACAGCACAAGAACGTTCATGAACCTCGCGCTCTGCCTAAGCCCGCAAAGAGCGATCTGCGCTTGCCTAGCCTGCCACCATTCAGATGATTGAAAAAAGAATGAAGCTTGGAACGCCCACAGGCTGACAGGCACCGATGAATCTAGGACATGGCTCCGAAAGGCAGCAAACCGCTTCACCTTTTGCGCATCTTTCGGGAAGGCAGGCTTAGCCCCGAGAAAATTCCAAGCGACAGTGCTCCATCATGCCAGACTCCTCGGACTGCAACGGATCACACGCAGTCTTGCATGCACATGTTTATCTTGGTCAGACATCCTCACAGACACGGCGGCCTCGTTCATAAACTGTTGGCTCCAGCTAAGCCAAGACGCGTTGCTGAAAACGTCTGAGAGGTCCGAATGCTGCTTGTTGTTTGCCTCCTTCGCGTGAAGGATTATCCGACATCCAAATATCACCACATATTCACTAACAAACTAAATAATAGTTTCGGGGCCTGAGAAGGACATCTTTGTTGGCCCTGTCTTCGCCGCCATTATGAACCGACACAGTCATATGTTAACCTCAGCATTTAGAAGTCAGAGCGCCAACATTGTAACATCTCATCTTAAGGATCAAAGGCAGGCTAGTGCCTCGGCAAAGCCGAAGGGGGTGATAGGGGATTCTTCAACAGCTCGCCCTCTCCGGCAAGTTCTAACATGATGCAAAACATCTCCTTTTTTGCATTTTCAGGCACACTGAAATCTTGCCGATGCCTGGTCATAAGCTGCGCGGAACTCCGATCTCAGCACTTCGTCGAGGTTGAGGGACATCGTACTCCTTACCGCGTCAAGGGTTCTCGTGTGTGGCGCGGCTTAGAAATCACTGATGCCATGCCCTCGAAGCCTTCATTGCAACCTGGGCTAGCCACACACACACACAAGTTTGCTGAAACTATGGTTGGGATGCGTATGGTTGAAGACCGGCATTGGGCTGCCATCGGCATCCGACGACCTGGGAGCACCCAAGTGAGAAGGCAAAAAATGTTTGCAGCAGGCGCTGAACCAAAAGACACCTGCAAATCCCCGCATGTGACGCGTAATTACACCCCTGGATGCGACCAGGCAGCTGATGAACTGCAAAGTGCGGTGCCTTGCAGTTTCGACTCTCGTGCCCATTGAGGGCGGGCGGGGGTCAACTTTGCAGTGGCGTTAGTTCGATTGCGCAAATGTCCTGCTGCATGTCAGCAGGTGAACCGCTAGACACAGGCTACGCAGAATGCGTGGACACACAGCTCCGGCCTTGTCATCGAGGTTGAGGCTTTGTGTACCCCTGGGCTGGGGAAGGTTTTCGCAACAAGATCAAGGGAACTAAGCAAATGATAGCACATGCATATCATCATACTTCTAAATTACTTCTAAATACTTGAGGCACGAGGTGAATGGAACTTGGGTTTTGTGTCTTGTCATGTCGCGATTACACACCAAATTCTTCTGAAAGTGCACCTTGAACATTGAACACCTGCGACCTGTGCAACAAGCAGGTTCCCAAACAGCATACCGGGGTACTCCCTCCTCCCCGCCTGCAACAGACAAGCCTTCGGGGCCAAAGTTTTTTGACAGCGTGGATGAGAAAGTTGCAAGAGGGTTTTTTTTGTGGAGGTCCCCCTTAAACATAGACCATCTTTCTAGAACTCTCGGAGGTCCAAGAGGCGCCGGAGCGCTCAGCCGCTTCGGACGCATAGCCGGCACGGGTGAGTTGACATTGGCTACGGGCTGTTTACACAAGGCCTACGCCCCCCCCCCTCGTGCCGAGGCCAGGGGTTGTGAAGTTGTGCAGGGCGCAATGTCCCCGACTGAGGCTGTGGGTCCTTGCACCCAGCCCTCGGATTCGGATTTCCGTCAGAGCTTCGGGCCCTGCGGCGCAGGTTTCCTAAACTCAAACTGCCGAAGACTCCATCCTTGTTTTCCCTTTCGGAAGTCCTGGCTTCAAGGGTGAGACAACAGTGCGCAAGCTGGGGGCCAAGAGGATGACGGCGAGAGGCTCAACATGTGAGAGTTCTTATAGGGGACGACACGGGGCAAGCCTCCGAAGGTCGGGTCGTCTGCTGGGCTTTGAAGGGAAGGAGGGAGAGAAACCCGGGCTACAATCTCCCACGAGGGCAGCTGCTACAGTCGTGGGGTCTTCCAGCAGGGCTTGGAAGCTAGCGGCCTTCCCTCCTCTGACCAGCCTTCTGGTGAAGTCTGACTCCGGGCTGCGTGGAGACTTCTGGCAGACCTGGTGCTGGTTTTTCGTCCGTCAAGCAAGCGGTGTTCAATCCTGATGATGGGACCTTTAACAGAGTCGAGCCCTGTTTTGAATGGCCAAGGTCTCGGCTTAGTTCTGTGGTTGAGGTGCATTAGTTCAAAAAAACTACTGATGTTTGGACCCTCTGTTACGGGGACCCCTCGACTAAGACAAGCTTTTAGGTGAGAGTGCGAGCGTCGTGAGAAGCGTCGGGTGAGGTGCCTTGAATCGAAAACCAATTGCTTGTCGGTGGGGTCTACCCAAGGGCCCTGGGTCGATGTCGGTTTGGCGAGGGGTTCATAGGGTCATAGGGCGCTGCAACCAAGACGGAGGCAAACATCTTTTCCTTGCAGGCGCACGGCAAGATGCCTTACAGCACCGCAGTACACAACGCCTCGTGGTCCACCAAGTCGAGGTCACAGAGTTGCTTCATGCTCGTCTTCAACCGGGGGCTCGTCTTCAGCTCGCTCCAGAAGACGTCCGGATCTTGGTGTAAGCGAATCAGAGCCTTCCGAACCAGGGGATCGTGCAGGATCTCCTTGACGCCCTCTTCCTGGACGAGCTGCTTCTGCTCCTCTGTGAGGACAGAACCTGCGACAAAGCTCCTACGACGATTCTTGCCCATACTTTCGCACCCTCAAACAACTCGATGACTGAAAGTCCTGCGAAGCTGGCCCAGAACTCAGCCCTCTCATCCCATACGTATGGACACGTGTATATCAATTATTATCTATTTATATATGTTTGTGTGTGCACGGGTAGCCCGTACAGGAAAACAAAAGTTCAGAAGCATGCGATGGCTTCCATACCCAGGCACGAATGTAGGCACCCTGGACCACTTCCAGCGCCTCCTGACCACTTGGCACGAGGAACCGGCACAAATCCGAATCCCTTTCCCCATCCAATGTTAGCTGGGGCGAATCCACATCGCAGGAATGACGTCGGGGTTTTACAAGGGGAATCGAACTCTGTGCGTAGCTCAGGCGTCCACCAAGAAGACACCAAAAAGAAAGCCCAAGCTTACGACCAGATCGCAACCTCAGCCACACAAGACAGATTTTCAGCACGCCCACAGGGCAGCACCAAGCCTACCTTTCTTTAGTATGGAGGCCTGCTGCCGTGCGAAGTTTCCCACCATCTTTCTGCGACCCCCATTGCTTGGAGTTGCCCGGAAACATGCGAAGTTTCGAGGCAAGAAACCAAACAGCAAAAATCAGCAAAAGGCCCCTGAGCACCAAAAACCTAAGCTTTCGCTTGCCAGATTCGCAAGAATGTCTGGACCCGGGCTTCATCCGAATTCCTTCAACACGTGATCCCAACAATTTTCCCAGGGGTGGGTGGCTCCTCAGCCCCTGAAATGTAAAAAGCCTGGAGGAAGCTTCTGGCTTCAGATTCCGAAGACTTTCTGGACCGTGGCTCTCTCCAAATTCCGTTCAAAGCCGCCTTGCGCAAGTCCCCAACCGATTGAATGATTGAACGAAGTCTCAACAGCAGAATATGAAGGCCTTGGGACCTTCAGCTCTAAGACTTCAAGCTTCAAGGCCCCAAATCTGATTGCTCAGCAGTAAGAAAATTGTTCGGGTGAGTCCCATCCTGCTGGGAGCGCTGGTTCTTGGCCTCTTGGCGCACAGCTTGGCGCTCCAGCTCTGTCTCGTTGAGGAGCCTTGAGGTCAAGACTCAGGGTGGCGGACATGAGTTCCCTCTCGGAGTGGTGTCTACTTTACTTGTCAAGGCTCAGGAGTAGGAAAGGGGGTAGCTGGGGGAGGTGGGTTTTTCATTGTCCAGCTCAGGAACCGCTGGTCGCCCACGTCCTCGTCCAAGTCGCCATCCAATCCGAAGAAGCGCTGGAAGCGCACGTAGTCGGTAAACTCCGAGTCCGATCCGGGCTCGTTCCAGAAGATGGCCTTGGGAAGAAGGAGCTGCCCACTGATCGGGTAGGTCTTCAGCTGGGACAGACTCAGGTAAATGGCATCCTTGCCCAGAACCGCCACCTTGACGAAGCCCTGGGGCAGGAATAGGCTATCCAAGGCCATCGATGTTCTCCGACTGGTCTCCACAATGATGCAGCGGATGTCCCATGACTGGAACGGGAAGTCCTTGAAGATCTCCAGCTCGGCACCTTCTGCATCTACGGAGATCAGATCGATCCGTGGCTTGCGCCTGTTCCGAAGCACCTCCTCTCCAGGGCTTCAGAAGCTTCGCGAGGGTGGGCGAGGGCTGGGCGAGGCCACGCAGGACTTGGAACTAGGAACGGTCTTTGCAAAAGAAAAAGGTTTCAAAACTGCACACCCCCCCCTCAGCCCTAAACCCCTTCACTCCTGCAGCTCTCCCGCATCCAGGAGTTGAGACATGCCCTCCATGAGCAGCTGATGGAGCGGGGCGCAGCGCGCCTCGAAAAAGGTCTCCGAGGGCCACAGGTCCTGCCGTGAGGCCAACTGGGGCAACTGGCAGAAGTGCTCAGATTCAAAGTTCAAGACGCCCTCGAGCATGGACCCTCCTCTCAACACTGTCAATGACCGTTACTGTGGAAGAACAGCTCACCAACAACATCCAACAACCATATGGCACCCTGCATCCGCTCCCAAGCAGAGCCCTTCTGATCCCCTGTTAAGAAGGGGGGGCCTGGGGGATCTCGCCCGGCCGGCTGGGCTTCAGCTCGGACTTGTCGGTCCGAGCAGCGAGCTCGAGCCCATTCCTGGGGAGTCTTTCGGGGCTTCAGGGCGCCGTGTAACCGAGGAGGAGAGGCTTCTAGTTTGGTTTGGGAGGGTGCCTTTTTTTCGCAGCTCATAGCGGTGGCTTGGAGTGCTTTTGAGCTCCTGCAGTCTATTCTTTGTCGGGCACAGGATGCTTCCGGCTGCCGGAAGCTTGCCTGCTTGCAATCTGGGCCAAGGCTTGGCCAAGGCTCGCGAACTTCATGGAGGTCTGGTTGGCCCAGGCGCAGGCGTCCACTACCTTGCAGCTGCGCAGGCCCTGGATCCTTGAGAGGAATGGGAGAGTTTGAGGCACCGCGAACTGGAACTGTGCTGTGAGTTAGTTTCTTTCTGGTCACCTCCCCTCAGTGCTCGTTGCGGTTCCATTTGCTACGTCAGTGTTGCCCTGGCTTTCCCAAATAGAAATCAGAACTGAACTGCCCCCAGCGTCATGTGCTTCAACCTTGGGTTGGGTTCCAAGCAAAGCCCACGCCATCCCATACAGCTGTCCATGAAGGCTGTGTTGGACAGATGAAACGGATGGGAGGAGCCCACATCCACGTACAAGCCCCGGTCCCTCGTCTCCTCCCCGAAACTTGGCTGCTTCTGATCTCTCCAGGACAAACAACATTGTGTTGTCTTGACCCGTGCTCTTTTCGCGACTTAGATTCAAAATATTTCTCAAGAATTTCTTCCAAGAAGCACATTCTGTATCAAGAAGAAGTCCTGGTTCCACTGAGCTGCAAAGTGCTTCTCCTCTCCTTCCTTACACAAAAACTCCAGGTTGAAGTCGTAGAAGGCATCGGAATGCGCGTGGCAGAAACAAAGATTTTGGCCACAACCCGAGGCCACTGTCGGAAAGTACAGCTCTTGACCATTGATCTCCACGAACTGGTCCACATCTACCTTCCCACAGATCGTCGCCTTGAATGTCTGGTACTGATACTCGCAGTAGTACCTGTCTGTTGGTACCTCAGGCCACAAACTAGCACGGTTGGTCCAAAGGTCCTCCCAGAAGTGCCTTCATTCCTGCATGTCCCAGCCCTGTGAATCTAACGGAGGTGTGTAGTGAGTGTAGTGCGTATACGCTCCACAGTTCTCACCAATTCCAAACTGAGGCGCCCCGTCCAGCTTCCAGGGGCTATTGCACCCTTGCAGGTTGTAGAGCGCCAGGACGTAGGGTCGGGAGTAAAACAGCTCCCTATACCTCTCAGGGATAACATCCCCGACAATCCCGAGCTGAGCTCCTCTCCCCGACATCCACAAAGCAAGGATGCTGGTCAAGATGCGATTCCCCACAAACCGCCCTTTCAAATGAAGGCAATGAAGGCAAGGAGCCTGTAGAAGGAGAACATGCGCGTGTCCAAAGACCAGTGCAGCGCATCACACTTGCGGCGGTTGCGGCCCCGGCTCTCAGCAAAGTCCTCCAGTTGCGCCACATCCAGGCTGCTGACCTGGCACGGAAGTTGCCTTCGAAACCTCACTGCAAGCATGCTCCGGAGGAAGTTCTCCGCCCTCACAACTCTGAACAAAGCCTCTGAAAGCCTCTGAAAGGCTTTGAAGGCTCTGAAGGCTTTGAAGGAAAGCCTCGAAGCCGACCTGTGGTTTCCTGCCTCCACGCCGAGCTCGGCGGCCACCAGGTGCAAGTACAAAGGGTCCTCCACATCCAGGAGGACGAACTGCAGTTCTGGAAACACCTGCGCCTGGCACGACATACCATGAGACTATGAGCAAGGACGGGGTAGTGGTTCTCAGGGCCCGGGTTGGAGAGCGGACGCGCAGAAGCTTTAGCGAAACTGATGACCCCGATGCATACAAGCTTTCGTTCTTCACGCTGCGAGTTTTGAGGAGAGGACACAACCCTACCGTGCGAACGAGGGCATGTTCCGCTGGGTCATTGTATGGCCACGCTACTACTACATGCTTCACTACAACTTGCGGCCGCCAGCCCTGCTCAAAAAGGATCCCGTGCTGTTATGTGAGGATTAGCTGCCGACGAAGACCGCCGACTTTGCTTCCACCGGTCATGCCCGGGGGCTGTCGGAGATGCGGGAGAAGCAGAAAGCAGGCAGGACAGGGAGTCAGGATGAGTCAGGCATAGGGAGCTGTGCTTCCCGGAGCACACGCATTACACTGAGAAGGCCGAACTCAAAGCTACAGCTCCAATCTTCCAGAGAGGCGCCATGGAGACAAACAGCTCGATGGAAGCCGGTCCAAGGCCCAGGAAACAAATCGTAGGCCAGTTCCTCAGCAAAGGGTGCAAAATGAAGGTTTCTTCCCACTGTGTGCATGGACGATAAAGCTGCGTCTATGACTGTGTAGCAAAATTAGAGCTCGTTGCGAAAGCGCGTGGCACGGCTTGAGAGTCTATGTCCACAACCCACAGAGCAGTCACCACATAGCCACCACTCGAACAAGGAACGATGCACCCTGGAAAAACGCTGAACAAAAACCCCTTCCCTGCAGCCAAGCTTCAGGGGCCAAGCAATCCCCTGCTCCCGGGCCTTCGACTCCTGCACCGCAAGAAGCCGCACGAGCTCAAACTGCGATTGCATGATGCGATGCAACATCCTCCATGCTGTATCAACGCCGCGGCTTCTTTCAGAAGTGGACGGTCCAAGAGTACCAACACCCGTCTGCACTACTGTACGTACTCGTCCCCTCCCAGTAGCATGCGGTCTGAATCCCCCTTTATCCTTGGGCTTCACTTGTCGGGATTAAGGTACTCACTCACTCACTCACTCGTGCCTGCATCAGAAACACCCGATGGCCATTGGGGGACTTCGATGAGCCCAAGGTGCCATTGAAGACGTGCTTGTCCAACCAAACCTTCCTAGGATTCGGGCGAAAAAATCCCGATCCGTGCAACCAGGAGACTTTGGGTTGGGCTGCACAAGCTGTTACTTTAGTAGCCTGCAGTGTGCCACCTCGAATGTAGGGGGGAGGGGGGGTTCGTGAAAACTTGAGGGCCGGGCCGATGCCAAAGAAAGCAACAGCCGAAATTTGCCTGAGCGACCTGACTGACTGCCCAGTTCATGCAGCTGCGCAGCTGCCTGGTTCCAAGCTTTTAAAGAAGCTGACGATACACCTACCAGGGCTCAGGGCTGCAAGTCCAAGCGTCGCCGTCATCAGGTCGGTAGGCTCCAGAGGGTTCCCAGCAGCCAGCCACGTGAAAGCCAAAAGCAGGCGAAGTGAGGTGCCCATCATCATTGCGGAGCAGACTGCTGAAAATAGATATTATCCCTGGAATTCGCTGACTCGGAAGTGGGTCAAAGGGGGTACCCTCATACGGGTTTTGCAGGGGTTATGGGTCCCACTCCCTACGCCTACTCGCTTCCATACCCGAACTCATCGGAGCTCAATGCACGACCAAGAACCCTAGGGTTGAAAGAGGCTGCTTACAATGGCTGGGCTTAGCATGGCTTAGATACTTCAGCTCTGCGCTAGCTCTGCGCTAGAAGCCAATGCTTGTCCATGCCGGCGGAGCAAAAAGACGGTGCGGCTGATGTCACATGCTTGCAAACCCTATCCACCCCCCAAGCTGCCTGACTTGCCAAGCTTGCAGGTGCCCTCTGGAGGGATCCGCATCCCAGCCTCTATCCCAACCCTTCAACACACCCCAGGCCCCCACAGCACTTGGCAGCGGAATCGATCCAGGAAGCCCCTCACACCAGAGTTTTTTGGACCCTCTTGAAGCCCCCCTGCCTGATTGAAAGCCTCTCGCCCAGCAACCGCACCAGCTCCCTGGCATGACCTGTCTTCCCGCTTTCAAATCGAAAAGCTGGGTGGGTTTGCTCAGCTTGCTCTTGCACACAGGGCGGAGGAATCGGAAAAGGTTTCACATGTTTGGCTTCGAGCTCGCCGCAGCCCCCACTGACATTCAGGTTTCGGGCTTTCGGAATCTCATGTTCGCTATCTTCGTTGGTCCTATGTGTTTCTTGTCCTGAGCCCAACTGGAACTAAACACGATGCGCGCTGAACCTGACTGAGGGCCGCGCCAGTGCTCTCGCAAGCAGCCGTGGCAAGAAGATCTGCGACATGCGCAAAACGCGGAGAATCTCGACTTATCGACCCCCTTGTGTGCCCCAAGCAAGAATTTGGGGGGTTCCCCGTGTGAAGGGCATGTCTGCCAGGAGATGTCAGGAGACTGCCTGTGCCCAGGTCGGCAAAAGGCTGGTCCACCTGGGGGCGCCGTGCTTCTTTGCTGCGGAGGCTTGGGTGGGAATATGCGGGAATCTAAACAGCCAAGAGTCTGTGAAGAGTGGTTGTACACTTTCGAGAAGGGTGCTGCGGGGCCTTCCCTGCGAGTAAAGAGCCTCCATTATAAGCGCTGAAAACACGTATCGATCTAAGCCAATTTAAACTGCGGATGTGCCTTACTCTACATCAATCTTCCCGATGGCCGAGCACGTCTCTCCGCTCTCAACTTACAACCCTCCTCCTGAAAACCGGAGCACCGCTCGCTTTTCAGGCTCATCCTTAGCATGCTCCGCACAGGCAGCACACAGCTGCAGCAGGAGATCGCTTCGCTCCTGGCACGGCTTGGCTCGAATCAGGCATATTGCTGCATTCTGTGCCTATGCTACTCAGTTGTCCCGTAATGGTTTGTCTGGAATCTCCCGCAACGCAGCCCCCCACCCTGTTCCTGCACGTCCTGCACGCCTGCAATTTCCGAATACCGCACGTCTGGCGCATCCCGTGTAGCTTAAAACGGATACCAGCTATTTACGGCAGCCTTGACACCGAGGTAGATACTTAGTATGGCACGACTTAGTTGAAAGCAGGCCTCCGCCACATTTGTGTGAGTCCCCTTTTTTACAGAGCCCTAACCGCGCGAATCACCTGCACACAACTCAGACAACTCTCTACGCTGCGCCTTCATCCACTCTTTCATCGCCTCGCCCTGCGTTGAGGCCCAGCTCTGCCAATCCTGAGCTGACTTCGATGCAGCGATGCGCCAACCTGACTTTCGGCTTCAGGCTCCAGTTGGCCACCTAGCCTTCAGGGGCCCCAACAGCCCAAGCCACTACATCTCTGATCCATCAAGCATCACCTGTCAAAGCAATGGCATATGCTGGCTCAGCACCTCGCGGCAAGCACCTCATAACAACGACCCATGGCCGCCGAGAGTCTAGAAGACCGAAGTTGGAGTCGTCACGGTACCTTCAGTCTTGGATACCGTGCTCCCTATATCACTAACATGCATGCATTGAGCAAGCATGTCAGGTGGACTAAGTGGCTGTGATCCCCAGCATTTCTAAAGCCAGCGCGCAGCAGACCACCCCAAAAACAACAAGAGTCTCAGGCATCAGAGTCGCCTCTTAACTCGCCCCAACACCCTTGCTCAACACACCCACGGATCCAACAGAGCTGCTGAATGATGAACACCATAGGGCAACACCTCTCTCAACGGCATGATCTCTTCATTGTGGTGCCTTTGAAAGTCCTCGCTCTCTGCGGCATCTGCGCACAGCCTGGCGACAAGTCGGTTGGGCACAGCCGGCTAGGGGACCCCAGTATGCATGAACTGCGTAGGAATACCCTGCAAGGAAAAGGGGAATTCCAAGCCAAGAACCGAGGGTCCAGAGAGAGGTGAAATCCCAACCCAATCACAAGAGCTCTCCTGTCTTTACTGTTCCAGGGTCTGCAGCGATGTCAGCCCGTGCACACGGTCAGCCACACCACAAACCCTGGAATACGGAACCCTTCTGCACCACCTTGCATCTCAACAATAGGGGACGCACGCAAAGGTCTCAAAGGCTTGCAGGCGCGACTGACAGCAGCAATGCCCGGCTCAAAAAAGCTGCTTCGACCCTTGCAGAGATGCACCTCACGGCCCGCACACTTCAGAGCTAAGAGCTGCCAGAGTTCAGCAGGCTGCTTTTGTAAGCTCGGCGGTGCGGCAGCATCAGCTTCAGCGGGCTCCTTTTCTGCATGGGAACTCAAGGTGACAAGGATTGCTATGGGATTCTGCGGGCCAGAGGTCAATCGAAGAGAAAAGTTTTCATGGGTCGAAGTGCAGCTTGGGCCTTGGCGCCTTTTAGCGGGGGTTTTCGGAGCCTGCTGGGGTTCTGCTGGAGATTGCAAGATTGGAGCCCCAAGCCGCAAGCCCTGAGTTCACTTCTCAGCTCAGAAGCGAAGAGTGTTGGCTTCGGGCCTGGCTCCCCAGTATCTTCCACGCCGCTCCGTCGGCGGTGCCGCCTTCGAAAAAGCGGAGGTCAAAGGCAGGGCGACCGCCCCCAAACCCGGATTTGACAAACAGGAACATTGCCCCGTGCTGCTTTGCCTGGCGACATGTTGGAGATCAAACAGTTAGGTATCGTTGGTTTAGTCGAGAGTGCGCAACTCTACTGTCCATCGTGACTATTCGGTCAATTCGGTCTGCACAGAAAAGAAGCCCTCGCACTTATTACTTCCAACCTATGTTTGCCATCGGGTTAGGAACCAAGGTGTGATGATGAAAGTTGTGTGCTCGTCTAGACTCGTCTAGTCCAGTAATCGTCACTCAAGCACTAGAACAGAGATGGAGGGTGACATAGAGAGACAAAGCCATACAAGTTAGACAGAGATGTCTAACTTAACAAAACATGTGTATGTATGTATGTATGCTTACCGTTGTACATGCACGTGTGCATATATGCATAAACACGTGCATATAAAATTTACATATATGCATGGACATATACGACATAGACATATACGACATATACGACATATACCTACGTCCACATATATTCCTCATAAACATGGAGCGGTTCCTCTCCGCATCGTGAGCCACAACATTCAGAATTCAAAAGTGCAAAACCCCGGACATGAGAGGCTTCTCCTCGCACCACCCATGCGCACAGAATTGTAGCTTTAGCGGGTCTGGACCTTGGCGGTCTAAGATTTTGCGGGGTCCCGGCTAGCGACCATGGAAGTCTTTGCGGGATGTTGGAGGCTTAGTGGCCCTCAGTCCTGGTTGCCCTCCGAGTGTACTGCCTTATGTTGCCGGTCTCCAGTTCCCAAAGACTCCAAAGACTCCAAAGACTCCAAAGACCCGTGGGGGGGGGGGGGGGGGAAGCTGGGAAGCTTTGCGAGGAGGTGCCTGAAGGTGTGTGAAGAGACGCCGCACAAGCTCGGAGAGCTGAGCAGTCCAGAGCTCATCAGGGCCACCCTGGCAGCTTGAAAGGCTTCGGGGCGAATCAGCGGCTGTCCATGTGGGCAGGTATGTGAGTTTATGTGGGCATCTTTGTTATCTTGTTTCATGCCTCCCTGAGCATCAAGGGTCACCCACCCGAAATCCAAAGCCCACCTTCTCCCGCGCTTGCCAGTCCGCTAAGGTGAAGTGCTGCCTCGGTCAGCTTCAGGGCCCCCTATGACCTGCGGCGGTGAAGGCACAAGCTGGGGCCATGCCTATTGCAAAACTACGAAAAGATGGTCACGATGTTTGGATTCCTTGTATCTCCTGTGCAGCTGGGTCACCGATCCCGCTGTTGGATCCAGGCTTTGCTTTCAACAGCCACTGCCTGAAGGAGGAGGGTTCTTTCCCACTCGCCTAGTAGCCTCACCTAGGTTTCGTCGCTCACTGTCCGATTTTCCCCCACCACCACTTTTGGTCACCAGTGATACGACGTGGCAGGCTCAACCCCCCGAAGAGCACTCAACCACTCTGTTTAGGGCTTGTGTGTGCCATACACTCCCTGCCCTCGTCTGGAAAAACATGGACTCGAAACATGTCATTATCTAGGGCGTGCTAACAAAGAAGGCGTACCAAGAATCTAACACATCCCAAAACTCAACGATGCCCTCAAGTCCCACCAGCAGCTGAAACAAGCGCCGCGGCGTTGGCGTCTTCCAAGTGCATGTTGGCTCTGGCCTGATGGGGCTTTCGACTCGCACACTCTCGCCCACTGGCATACGCAGGCCTGAGAGCTTCGTCCATTTATGCATATTTCTGGGTCCCACGCCGATTTGGCCACTTTTAACATGCATATATGCGTTAAATTACAAAAACAGAGACATGTATCTATATGTGGCCATATAATATGTGGTCACGTGCTCCGCGGCCCCCCCCCCCCTTGATTTTTTGGCTTATGGTTTGGGTGACAAGGGACTTAAGGCCCAGGGTGTTTATGCGGCATTCCAGCTTGGGGCTTGAGGGCTTCCGGTCCCTACGTGAACCCTAACCCTAAGGCAGGCCCAAAACTCACTCCCATCCGATCAGCTGAACAGGAGCTCCCTTTGCCTAAGGAAGTCCCATGTACGACCCCAAAGCCCACCACTTACAAACCGATAGAATCGAAAGGGACCTGCAGAGCTTCGACTTAGGTGAGGCAGTAGAAGGGATCAACCGGCTGCCATGGCGGCCTCGTCCACTCGGGTGCTGCTTGCAGCTCGCGCGCTGCCGCAGTGAACTCTTGCAGGTTGTCGTGGAAGAAGCGCAAGAGCCAGGGGCACAGCTGGCGAGAGTTTGAAAGGAAGGTTTGCATAGTCAAGGAGAATTGTGGACATGAACGACAAGAACTGCCGTGCTGAGCCCATGCTGGGCTTCTCTGTGTCTTTAGGCTTTGGCCTCCTCATCTGCCCCTGTCGCCGCATCCAGCTGGCCGAGACGCCTTGATGGACAGCATCTACCAGAGCTGCATGAAAAAGTACAAGGACTTTCTGTGTAGGTTTGCACATCTTCCCCGAATCCTCCTCAACCATCTTCGGGATCCGGCTTCCGGTGATTCACCCACCGCAGCACACTCAGCATCAAAGGCATCATGGGGCACCGCAGCAGCAATGAAGGAAAGAACAATGGTGTCATTCATTGTTGTCTATGCAATGTGGTGGTGCGCCGCAGCCAAAAAACTATGGGATATCATGGCTACCAGCACGAGTTACAATTTGCCATCATGATGTTGGATTGCCACACTCATCATGGGACTCCTGGCATATTCAAACACCAGCAGCATCCAACAGCCAAACGGCCCAGAACAGGACGGATCCACAGGGGAACCTTAAACATACTGGGGCCCAGATTCGATGGTCGCCCAAGCAAGGTATCTATTTTTTGAGCCCTTTGCCCTGAACTGCCATGTCTGCCTTCCGGGCTAAGGAGATGTATCGTACCTGTATGTACCTGTACAAGGTAGATGAGCCAGGGCACTTCCATCTGTAGCCCTCGAAACCTCGACTCGTGTCCACCTCGTACCTTGGGCACTTATGTGTCCCAAGACTTGAGCAGCCAGAGCCTCAAGGACCACCGCTTCCCAACAACCTGATCATCGTCTCTCCTCTCCTAACAACGCCCAACCCCAACCTATTGATTCTGTGATCCAGTCCAGCTTCCCACCGGAGCCCTCACGAGGTCGCCAGGACCCTGGCAGCTTCGAACAGAGCTTATGACACATGGCAGACATTGCAGACTGGACCTTTTTTTTTGTTAGGCGCTTCCCGGAAACTTTGCAAAACTCGGCCTAGGTTCTTGCCTGTCATGTGCTGCTCATCTTGAGCAGGCGCTGAAATGCACATGACCGCAGCACACTACTGCATTGGGTGCAAGGGTGGGGGGGGTGGGTTGGGGGGGTTGGGTGGGGTGGGTGGGGTGGGTGGGGTGGGTGGGGTGGTGGGGGTGGGTGGGTGGGGTGGGGTGGGTGGGGTGGGTGGGGGGGGTGGGTGGGGTGGGTGGGGTGGGTGGGTGGGGTGGGTGGGGTGGGTGGGGTGTGGGGGGGGCCGTATCTTGAACCCCCTCCTTCTCGCAACCGTGGAGTACCCAGGTTCGAGAATAGCACCCTCCGCCGTTGTATTGGGCGCTGCTGGCGGAGATCGCAGTGCATTGCGCGTCGCTCTGCAGGGACACATCGAGGCTACAGATATTTTTCTCCACTTTTCAGGTCCTCATCCGCGTTGTGGTTGCGTCTTGGTGTTTGGCTCCTTTCCCCTCCCTCGGTGGGGCGGGGGCGGGGGGACGGGGGCGGGGGGACGGGGGGGGGGGGGGGGGGGGGGGGGGGCGGGACAGGGAGACGAACAGCGAACTGGGATCAACAAAAGTATGTATAACAACAAACAGACAGACGCAACTACGTAATTACATCACTACATATTGAGAATACTTACATCATGGGCCTCCGGCTGCAAACTCGTCCCCGTCCCGCAGGTTGCAGATCCTCGAGATTGCAAGAGTGTGATGACACTTCGGGCCTTGGGGTGAGGAACCGGCGATTGGTCAAGAGAATTTCGTGTCTAAGGCATTGAACAGCTACTGGAATATCAAGTCCATGTTACTTTGAAGGCTTGCAGTGCTGAAGGCCTTCTGAAAGCAGTGCACGACACCTAGGATTCAAGATATCTCCACACGTCATCGGATTGACGGCAGTCGTCCCGATGCGGCATGGCGGCTCGCATTCCGGTGGGCCCAGATTGTGATGTCGAGCCTTCTTTGCCACGAGCGCGGAGCTAGCTCGAAGCACAACGCAATGCAACCAGAGCTTGGAGGTGTCGCAGGGTCCGACGATGCCATTCGGCAAAGACTCTTTGGAGACTCTAAGTAGAGACCACTGCACAGGAAGTCTACTTTTGGAAGTCCCTGAGTTCTTGGTGTACTCAAATCAGTTCTCAACTGTGGCCGAAGACCCTGCTCTTCAACCATAGGTAGCGACTTGTGGCTACATGCGGGCTACATGCAGCTACTTGTCCACACCGGGTTCGTTCCTCTGTTCCTCTGTTGCCTCTAGAGCTTTGCCATTACGCTCAAGATAGATCCGGCGGAGTTCAAAATAATTGCGAACGTGACACATCTGCAACGAAGCACCGCGTGGCCCCGTGGTATGGTCCAGCTTCAGCTACGGGAAGCCTAGTTAAGTGCGCACAGCCGGCCTGGCACTGGCCAGACCAGGCAGGGCCCACTTGTTTTGGTTTCAGGCTTAGAAATCACCATTATTGAAACATGGATTCTGGACAACTTGGATCTCCTGACATCTCTTATTATCATTGCTTGCGGCCCCTTACCGCACCTACGCTTATACAACAAGTGCGCACAGCATTTTCAGCTCAAGCGAGGTCGGGGACGCTCAAGGTGAGTACAGCCGCCTGACACAGTGCACATGGCAGGCTTCTTCATTTCGGAGTTCTTGTCTTGCAGTAGGCTATGCTTGTCCTTATTCGGTTTGTGTATGCTGCCTGCGGTTAAGCAAAGAGTGCGAAGCCTGCGTATCTTGCACGTACCATTCCTGCCTCAGGACATCTTACGTAACCGATGCCGTCACACAATAGCATTTCACTGAATGAGCGCCCACACACTGCACATCATAAGATCACGAATCAGAACGGCCGAGATTCTAAAACAAAACCAAGCCCCAAAAAAGCCACACAAGTCCGGACCATTCCTGACCGTTAAAGCATGCTCCAGCCAGCGACAGCGCTCAGCGTTCTTTCGGGGCTTCAGACTTGGGCGCTGAGAGTACGAGCCCATGAAACGGCCTCATGATGGAGTTTGCCGGCTTCGTGGTGAAGAAGAGATCCTTGACCTCATCATTGCCTTGGCCCGAAGGTCTTGCGAAGGTGTCTTGGGAGCAGCACTTTGAACACCCAAAGCAAGAGATCGGCCGCAAGAGCTTCACCTAAGGACCAATGGTCAGAACCCACCTCTGCCCCCAGGTGTGAAGGCCATGGGGCATGCCAAGCCCAGCGGTGTCTCTCCAGTCTTCATTCGCTTGCCCTTAGCGCAAAGTCGCTGGCTAAGAGGCATTTTGGGGTCAAGTTCGGGTGCATGCACCACACCGGAAGCACTGGAGTCACTAGATCCAGACCCTGGGAGGGATGGCGAGCCCAATTAGGCATCGGCCCGATTGCAAGCAGCCTGGAAAGACATTCACAATCCTCGTCTGGGTGCCAGGCCATCTCCGCCCCTGCCTCCAGTAACATCCGCAAACTTCGCGTATAACCTGAACATGAGGACACAAGATGGTAAGAGGTCCTGTCTCAGATGCTGGAAGGACTTTTGTTGCGGGGTCTCCATGGCTCGAAGAATTCCTATACTCCAACGCCTCCAATGTCTAAAGATTCGCAGCTCGCACATGTGTCGCTGCCTTCCTGCGCGGCGACAAGCAGCGGCGTCGCCCCATCAACGGTGGCCTGCTGCTGAACTTGAGCCAGCCCGAGAAGTTACCGCAAATAAGTTCAACCTTCGTTGCCAGTGAAGATAAGAGCCATTGCATTGCATCGTTCCGGCAGTCGTTCTGTTCTCCCTGACTCCTGTTCCCTCTGCCTGGTTTCTGCATTTGCTTTCACTTTGGAGTAATTGGACAACTAGTCAATGTTTCGTGCCGGTAAATAGTCCAAGGCTGACGGATTGAAGAACACTTGGCTTGTGCAAGATGGACCGGGCTGAAGGGCCTTTGGATTTTATGCGCGCTTCAAAACTCTATCACCCACTGCCCCACTGCATCTGAATAGCTATGCAAACGGCTTATTCGCACGATGAACGCCAAGGTGTGGTGGTGTAGAGCCATCGGTGATATGGTTTATTACTGTTCGCTGATGTTTCTTTGTTTGTGTTCACGATAAAGAACACGATGACGATAACCTTGTGCTCCAGTTTACTCAGCGTTCTCTTCGTCAGCCTTGTTTGAAGACCGTTCTTGCTTCGCCGCGCGGGTCATGGCGATGTCCGTCCAGCTCATTGTTGTTGTGAGTTCCTCTCTTCTTTTCTCCCACAATGTCATGTGAGCTGTTGTGCAGAAACAGAATCAACCCCTAAGTACCCTTGCCGGAGGGCAAAGACCATAGAGGGAATACCGATGAAAAGCGAAGACAGACAAGTTGTCTCGCAGCAAGAAACAACAGTCCAGACTCCAAGGACGGAGAACAAACAAGGCGAAGCCTGCAGCAGAAACAAGAACCTCTGCGCGGAAATTTGTAAACCTCTCGTCTTCCAGGTTTTTCTCCTGTTCCCAATCCGCAATTCCTGAGCCCCTCTGAGCCTATCAAACCTCGGTGGACATCTCGGGCTTTCGGGAAATGCTTCGGCTTGAGACTTATTGCTGTGGGCAAACCCCTGTAAAACTGGGCGACACTAGTCTGACCCTAGGAGCCTAGAGATAAACCAGCTCTGGTCTCTCAGCCCCTTCCCCTTGAGTCGCACCTTGTTCACATTGGCCTTCCCGTCCAAAAGGGCCCGGACCACGTCGTCCTACGAGAGCAGGGGCTAATTGGAGCTTCGGAGCTTTGGAGTTCTTGCTTCGGTGTTTGGTTGCGTCGGCTACGGGTTGCCAGCCTCGGGCTTTGGGATTTACCAGGATTTGGTCTTTTCAAAAAGATGGAGAGCATCAGGGCTCACGTTCGAAATTCGAAACACCCAACAGCACCCCTAAACACCCCCTAAACACCCACGAAAACCCGGGGGGGGCGGCCTTGCCACGCAAGACTGCCACGAAAAGCGGGGACTCACCGGAGGGTGTGACGGCGTCCTTGTCTGCACCTTAGTTCTCTCCGCTGAGACAAAGTACTGCGTTCTCTTCCTCTCTTTCTGACTCCTTCTCTTTTCTTTTCTTGGGGCATGGGGGTCGCCCCCCGCGCTCTCGGCGTGCCCCCACACACTCTCTCTCTCTCTCTCTTTCTCTCTCTTTCTTTCTTTCGTTCTTTCTTCTTTCTTCTTTGGCCCGCCCCCCCCCCCCACTCTCTCTCTCTCTCTCTCTCTCTCTCTGCCCATGGGATCCTGCATTCTTTGCATTCTTGTTGCACTTCATACGCTCTTATGCTGCCTAGTGGGTGTCATGTGCTGTTCTGCAGGCGCTTTCCAAGCAGACTTGACTCAGACTTGAGCCAAAAAATGTGCTGGGATTTGGCTTGCAAGCTGAGGGCTTCTGAGAATGGCTTGTTGCCACGGGCCTAGCTGAAGGGGGCCCACGCGTAAAGAAGCTCGATACCTGAAATTCCCCTGAGCACAGAGGCTGCTGCCACACTCCATCAACCGCCTCACAATGTCGACCTGGGATCACCACGGCTTGGAGCGTAGAAGTGGGACGGTGCTGATATGCATTGGCACAGTAGCTGCAACTCAAGATGGAAAGCAGATGTGGCTCCCCATTACAAACCTGATGAATTCCGTTCACAGACGGTTGCAGAGCAAAGCCTCTGAGCTTAAGCTCGAGACACAGCTCCCAAGCCAACCACGCCCACAACGGAAAAAGCACTTGCACATGGAGCGGCATTGCCGCGAAGAGCTGCGATGTAAAGCGCCGTGGCACCGTTGTATCTTGCCTGGCGTCTGTGTCGCGGATTTGCTTGCCGCTCTCTGGCTGGGAATGGCAGGCTTGGCATTCAAGGTTTCAGAGGCCTATTGAAGAGAGGCCAGATTGATCAGGCATAGCCGTTGCCAAGTGTGATGCAGTGGTTGATGCAGTACAAGAGTTGACGTGAGAAAGGAAAGCGATTTGCTTGTGGGATTCTGCAGAAATGGGCTTTGCGTTCGCACAGCCGCCGGCGCAATGTAGCCTTTCGCTTTCGAGCATGTTCGAGGGAACTTGGGCTACTGGGCCTCTCATGGTTGGCACAAAGAGTAAGTGCAAATGTCGCCCTGGAACCGAGGTGCCCAGGTGCCACATCGGTCCAAGCTCCCTGTAGCTTCTGACTTGACCAACCTTGCTACATCTTACTAGGCCACTACTCGTCACTTCCTTAGCAAGGCTGCCCGATGCACGCGCCGATGCACGCGCCTCCCGATCGCCCCGGCCCTGCGTGAGGTGCTGGACGACCTCCAAGTGGCCCTCCTTGCCAGGACTGTTCACATGGATGCTTGGCACTGTGAGCCAAGGGGTGGCAGGCGCCGGCCCCAAAACCTGGAGCCATGAAGACTGCAAGAAAAGCGCGAAAGAATTTGCACTGCCCGTTAGGACTTCCTAGCAGGAATTGCTAGGACCGTAGCCAACATTCAACCACCTGCAATCCTAAACAGCGACTCAACACTCCCGAGCGTCTGTAAAACTGCATAAACAGCAGGATAGACATGTCTCATTCCACAGAAAGCTTGCCACAATTTCAGGTAGAATCTGAAGCTTGATCTACTTGTCGCACTTGGCTCTCAGATTCATCGAGCTTCCCTCGGGGTTTTTTTGGGTACTTCGGACGTTCAGGTAAATCTGTTATGTCTTGGGCTTGTTAGGACATT